TTTGGTTGTTGCTCATTGTTTGACACTTATTTTGTGGCCAATTTTGAAGAAAATTTTTGTAACTCTTAGTGTTTATAGTGGAGCTTTTGGTCCTATGGTTTTTTACTCTTCACATCGAAGGGTTTTTCACGTAAATCTTTGTGTCTTGTGTGATTGGTTTATTTTTATCTTGTAGTTTTAGTTTGGTTTATATAAGTGTTGTCAATTCTTCGTATTGATTGATTTAATTTGTCTTCTCTTGGTTCAAATTGAAAAGGAAAGTTTAGACTTGAGTATTATTCCGCTGCTATCCTATCGGGCATTCTTGTTAGTGTCTTGTCTTTCCCAACACACATTTGGCATAGACCAATGTGACAAAGATTTACCACTGTCCAAAAAATCTAACTTCAAGGATAGTTGTTAGTTTGAATCCAATAACACCACCACATTAATCCCATCCTAAATAAAAAAAAACCAAATTCACCCATTTCAATTGTAATTAGCATAATGCATATTATATCTCGTTTTGTAATTTTGAATATGTCAAGTTTGTTTAAATGGATCCAATAATGCAATAAGAGAGAATTTGTGGTGTCTATGTAGCATTTGTACTCTATGAAAGGCTTGTTGAGTTCTGACATACCTGGTGTTCCAAACAAGCATTTTAAATATATTTAGAGTTAGTTTTCAAACCCCTTTTTGATGGAGACCTAGATGGTAACAAACTGTCACTTCCTTTACTTTTTACCTTTTTTGCTTTTGACTTGAGATTTAGGGGACACATCTACATTTTTCAAAGCCTGACCCACAACAATATTAATATCACCTTCTTCTTTATATTCAATAAGCTTTTCATTATGTTCTACATCTTTTCAAGATTTTTATCTTGAATTAGATGTGGAACTATATCATGCAAGACCTTGTTTGGAGATGACATGTTATAGGATCTAATTGGCTGCACATTGGTCACTATAGCAAGATGTTGGTCTTGTTGTTGTACTACTAGCTGTTAACTGTTGTCCTCATGTAGCTCCAAGGTATCACTTATTTTCATTCCATCATGACTTTCATCCTCAACTTGATCTGGTGACACAAGTTCGTCATGAATATCTTCATTCTTATGAACTTATTCTTGTAACACTCCGAAAATGTTTTGAGCTTAGACTCGAAATATTCTTCATTGTGAGTAAGATTTTACTGAGGAATTTAAATTTTTCTTAAGTTTTAGGGTCGCTAGATGTAGTACCTTGAGTTCCAAAAAGAACTAAAGGGAATTCCTTCAACTCATTCCTAGGTTCTTTTAAGTTTTGGGTCAACTTCAAACAACCATAACTTTTAGCACAGGATGAGTTAGGAAACCTATAAGATATCAAATGAAAGGTATTGGAATCATCTTTCCAACGCCACCAAGTTTGGTAATTTTCAAGCTTGTATGAGGGATATATACCCGTTTGAAGTCGAGCTGTCCAATTAAGGAAAGTTACCCAAAAATATGAGGGGTATTTTGGTCTTTTTCTTACCCAATCAGCTTAAAATAAATTTTAATAATATTCTGGGGAAAAATATGATTTGGGTCAGTTTTCATAAATCCAAATATGTTTAGGGTTTTAGAAGAGAGTTCATTCAAGTCAGTCCTAAGTTCTTTTAAGTTTTGGGTCAACTTCAAACGACCATAACTTTTAGCACATGATGAGTTAGGACACCCATAAGATATCAAAAGAAATATCTCTGAGTCCTCTTTCCAACACCACTGAGTTTGCTAATTTTCGAGCTCGTAAGAGGGAGATATGCTCGTTTGAAGTTGGGTTGTCCAATTAAGAAAAGTTACCCAAAAATATGAGGGGTATTTTGGTCCTTTCCTTACCCAATCTGATTTAAATGTTTTTGGTAGTGTTTTAGGAGTCTAAACTGATTGGAATCAGTTTTAGTTATTCCTAAAATACGTTTAGGGTTTTTAGAGGAATTCAAGAAGAGAAAAAAGGGAAGGTTCAAGGCATTTGTCAAGATTCTTTCAATCCTTCAAGGGATTTCGCCAAGGATTTTATCCTAAGAGGTATGTAAGCTTCCATAGTGTTGGGTTTATTCGCCACATGCCAATCATGAGTTTCTTTTACGAATTTCATCCATGAGAAAGAGTATATTAATAATCTTGTTAAGTTCTTGAAGTTTTGTGCTTCGTTTTTTATAATGAAGACCTTGTTGAATTCTTGAGGTGAGAGTTGTGAATCAGTGTTGTTCTTGATGGATTTTTGGTGTAGAATTCATTGTAATTAGGTTGGGTTTAAGGATCCGAAAGAGTTTGGAGGAGATCATTCGAGTTTAGACGAGGTAGGGATGAAAAAAATTAAAGAAAAATTCGTCGGATTCATTTGGAACGTGGCTGAGGCGGCGCGCCCCTATTGCTCCTGAGGGGCTGTGCGGCCAGACTAACCTCAGTCAACTAAGGGCTAGCGCGGTGCGCCACTGCTGCGCCAGGAACATCAGGTCCTCTCTGCCTCCGTTCTTTGCTCCGTATTCGATCTTTCAAAACATGTATTAGCTCTCTTAGGGATTTTCACTATCCAACCTACATCCAATCATTAAGAAATCCTATATATCAAGTCACGATCCTTGAATTCATAATTCAAATTCAAGAAAGAGTTAAGAGTAGAGTTCAAGAAAGTCTTTGAGTTAAATTTCAAATCCTTTGAGATCAACTATCGATTTGAGTTCTTTAAAAGGGTTCCTTCAATCCCTATTGATTTTAAACACTCTAAAATACTTCTAAACATCGATAAATCATTCATAGCATGAATCATAACCTTGAATTCATAATTCAAATTCAAGGTAGAGTTAAGAGTTACGTCTTGAGAGTTCTTCTGAGTTATTTTGAGAAAGTCCCTTTAAGTCTTTTAAAGGAATCTTCTACATTTGCTTATAAATTATTTCAAGACTCGAGTAGAAGGAGGAGAATTTATTCATGAGTCTACATTATCATTGAGATCCTTGAGTCAAGTCGTCCATGCCCATAATTCCGCGTGAACTCCATAACTTGATTTTCCTTGAGAGAAGTAGTATCTTCAAGTTTTAAGTCTTGAGTATGGAGTTCCCAATAATTTTGGGATTATATTCCTAATCATGGGACTACTACATGTTACCCATGATGGTCCTTGAGTTGAGTAGTTCATGCCCATAATTCTGCATGAACCCTATGAGTCGAGCAGTCTTGAGATGAGAAGTATCATTGAGCCCTTGAGTTGAGTAGTTCATGTCCATAATTCCGCATGAACTTTCCGAGTCGAGCATTCTTGAGATGAGTAGTATCAATTACTCCTTGAGTTCTGGAGTTGTTGAGTTTCAAGTATTGAGTTCTATGCATGGTTATTGAAAACCTTGAATTGAGTCATTCACGTCCATAATTCGGCATGAACCCTATTTTAAGAAGTCTTTTTTACAAATTATTTTAAAACTTGTTTTAAAGACTTGAGCACTGAGTTGAGAAAGAGTAGAGCTGAGTTCATTTTCTTTAAAATTATATATGGGAACTAAGTATTCCCAAGAGTAAATGTTTTTACATTTAAGTTGAGAGGAAACTGAGATTTCCAAAAGAGTTTTGAGCAGTTTGAGTACCAACTCTTTTAAGAGAAAGAAAGAGTTATGTTTTTAAGCATATGAGCTAATTATATTTTGGGAGTAGTATTGAGCACCGATATGGGGGAGAGTTCAGACAACTCACAGCCCCCATAAACCATGTAGTCAACGGGGGTAGAAAGGGTCATACTTTTTAGATGATTTCTTATTGCTTTTTAGGATAGACTAGTGGATCCACTTAGTAGTAGGTTCTATATCCTGGCAAAGTATAGGATAGTTCTGGCAGTGTGGCTAGACATTGTATCATCATATATCTCATAGTGATGGTTGTCGGTTAGAGAATCCCCCACAGAGTTACTTTGTATTTTTATATAAAACAGAGTTATTATTGTATTTTCATACAATTGAGTTATTATTGTATTTTTTACATACAACTGAGTTATTGTCTATTATTGTTTTAAAAGCTTTCCAGATATTGCATCTTTTATTGTTGTTGAGTATCTTGAGTTTGAGTTGAGTACCTTATGGTTGAGTTGAGCCCTATTTCCCTGAGTCGAGTTGAACTATGTTTCACTGAGTTGAGTATCTTATTTCTGAGTTGAGCCATAATTCTCTAAGTTGAGGGGAACTCTGTTTCATTGAGTTGAGTTGAGTTGAGAAGAGGTAAGTATGTTTCTTTTTCATCAGTTCAAGCTTATGTTTATGCTTTCTTATTAGTAACTTCATTCCAATCTTCAGGATTTCCCACAATTTTTCCGCTAGTCAGTCTCCTAGGAAAAGAACCAGAAGGTTGAGATTGTTGCACACTTCCCCCTTTATTATTACCATGTAGTTGTTTATCATTCCCATCATCTTTGCTTTTGTCGTCAGCCCCCATGTGTGCTCATGCATCCGACTTGTAGTCCTCGTTCGTATTTGCTAGTTCAAGATGAATGACCCTACACTCATACATGTTATGGTCTTGTAGTTTGCACTCTTTGCAATATTTGAGAAAATAATCATACTGAATATTAACTTTGACAGTCCTTATAACCCGTATCTTCATTTTCAATATCCATTCTTACATGATCAGGTAGATGTGGCATAGCTAGGCCTAGTATTATTAATTGAAGATGTATAGGGGTTCCTACCGCATATGCTAAAGAGAATAAAGACTCTTTGACGAAAAAGGTTGGCAACAAGTTGGGAAACGATATCCACGCCATAGCCATTGTAGTTTCCTCTTCCACAGTGAACTTAGAGTTATATATATTAATGGTCACATTTGATAGGAGACACCATCTTTCGATTTGATGTAGAAAACAATCTTTGATATAAGATTAATAAGATCTTCTTTCAATAAATGCCTATTTCTGAAATATCCAATCTTACAATCACCTTTGATGTTACATTGTGCAGGAATAGCGGTACGCAACTCCTCCAGATCCGGCCAACCATAAGAAAATTTTCCCGCAATAGCATTGAATATGAGCCATATGGCCATGCACATTTATTTATAACAAAACAATACAATACAATACAATACAATGTTTATTTGCTTATCATACACATACAACGTATGGTGCATGAATTAAACCAATTTCAGAATTGAGTAAATAATTTAACTCTGCATTGTTATTTTTGATATTAAAGTCTTCAATCTGTGATAAAATTGATTTAATTTCTTAGAACTTGATAATAATCTTGACACAATGTGGATCTTTCATTAACTCAAATGATTGGTTGATTTCAGTCAACGAAACTTGATGAGTTATAAGCTCATCTAGTTGAATCTCCTGAAGAAAAAAAAAAATCAATATCAATCCGAAAAAAATTCAAATGCCAAAAGAAATAAAAAATCTCAGTACAAAATCAATCTATACTATCTAAAGAATTTTCAAGAGGTTACACTTTATAATCGACTAACCGATCAAAACTACATTTTTCGTGTCAACTAGAGGTGTCAGAATAGGTAATTTACCTACTTATTCAAATTTGTCCATCTTAAATGGGTTGGGTATTCAACTCATTTAAAATAGATATATAAAATATGAATAAGGCCTCATTTGTTTTCATTAAAATTAAGACGTCTGAATCTGAATGCACATCTGAATGATTAAGATATTGTCTATAGAACTGAAAACTGAATGATTAACAGTGTTTGTTTTTAAACATCTGAATATATATAATTTATTACTATGTAAACACAATAAATATTATAATTCAAATAAAATAGAAGTTAAATATTACATTAACAAAATAGAAAAAAAAATGTCACACTTTGATAAACGTTAAGATATTTAAATTATAAATAAATATTTTAAGTTTGATAAAAATAAAATGGAACTACATGGACTACATATATAAATTATAATTAAAAAAAGGGAAAAAGGTCAAATATACCCATGTACTACTGGAAATAGTTTATATATACCCTTTGTTATACTTTTGATTCATATATACCATTCCCGTTATACTTTGACACATTTATACTCCTAATTTTAACGGAGGGACACGTGTCAATTTAAGAATCAAATAACCCATCCCTAATTTTAAATACCCAATTTCCTCGAAATCCACCCATTTTCCGGGTGACCCACCTTCAACCAAATCCAATTTCATAAATCATCTCTTTTATCTAAAACCTCCATTAAAATCAGCCACAAAAGCTCATTGTGAAACTAAAGGAGGAAGTGAAACCTCCATTAAATCGGCCACAAAAGCTCACTGTGAAACTAGAGGAGGAGTGAGAAGCATTGCTTCCATTTTTATTTTTTAACCAGGATAAAGTAATTTTATTAATAATAGCAGTACCAAGGGAGTACTGCATAAGTAAAAAAAAATAGAAGTTCAACACACCAGATGCTAAATCTGCACACCATCTCCTTCAACTGTAATTTCCCACTATAATCTTCAATATCAACTTTTCTTAAAAGATATTTGCATTATTTGTGTTAAGAAAAGTTTTCCATTTTATATTATGGGATGCTCTTGCTGGTGTTGGTTGCCGAAAGTTGAGGATTCAATCTAGATGGTATTAGCTTTTCACTTCTTCCTTAAGTTTCACGGTGAGTTTTCACAGTGGTTGAGGCCAGATTTTAATGGAAATTTTTGATAAAAAGATGACTTAAGAAAATGGGTTTCCTTGAAGGTGGGTGAGGAAATAGGTGGGTTTCAAAGAAATTGGGTAATTAAACTTGGGGATGGGTTATTTAATTTTTAAGCTGACATGTACCATTATGTTAAAATTAGGGATAGATAAGTACCAAAGTATAATGGGAGGGATATATATGACCTGAAAGTATAACGAAGGATATATATAAACTATTTTCAATAGTACAGGTGTATATTTGACCCTTTTCTGTTAAGAAAATACATTCATTATAATACATACATATATAAATATTATAATGTTTTTTTTTGTGAGGATGGGGTGAGGAGGGGGTAAAAGATATCGTTTTTAAAGCTTTTAACATGATTCCTACTGTAACATGGGTATTGTATCCATATTTATCGATATTATCCATTGGATAACTCGATTTTACCCATTTAATATATGAGTCAAGTCGAGTATTTTATCTGTTTTTGTTTAACACGTTTTGATCGACATGTATTTGACTCAACTCACTCGTTTGACACTCCTTATGCCAATTGATGCGTCAAATTTTCCTCCTTTGTTTGTCTTCAAAAGTATATCATACTTTTTATTAAAAAAGTAGACAGGATGCCTAGGACTAGTTTTATTAATAAATATAAAAGGAGAACTTCAAAGAAAAGAGTACAAGCAAGGGAGTTAGGCTTTATCTTACTAATCATAACGATGTCAGGGACGGAGCTAGTAAGAGCCCAAAGGTTCATCCTTCAACGAAAAGTTACACTGTTTATATATAATTAAAAATATTTTTTCCGTATATATAGTAGATGCTGAAGTCTGTTCATCTTTTTTGTGTGCTTACTTTTTTATAATTTTAAACTTCTTTAATGAAAATCTTGGCTTTGTCACTGAACGAGGTAACGAAAATTGTACCTTATTTGCGCATCTATGAAGTAGAGCAGGAAGATCTGAGTGAAGTCTTATTCCACCATAGACTGAACCTTTCAATGTTCTACCACATAATAAGGGAATTAAGTTGAATTCCCTAGTAAGTCCATGTCCTGCACCAATTACAACAATTGTTCCAATTCCCTAATAGTAATTGAGATCAACAAGAAGAATATAATGTTAATAAGTTTCTGTATATGTTTGTTTATCTGTTTTAACAACAAAATATAGAATTTTTTTTACCAATTTTGAGGCTTCAATGGCTTCATTAAGCATGGATGGAATCCCAGTACATTCGAAAACGTAATCAACACCTAAGCCTTCGGTAACATCTTTTATCATCTCGGAAACTGATGTCCTGGATTCTTTAGGGTTAATGAAGTCCGTCATTCCAAACACTTCTCCTTTTCCCCGTTTCGATTCATTTATATCAACACCAATTATTTTCGATGCCCCTTGACTTCGAGCTCCCTCAATCGCCTGCAATTTATTTTATTATTAGCACCCCTTTTATATTGTTACATTTAAACATCGAACTAAGTCAAAATGTAGTACTCACTCCAAGTCCAACAGCACCAAGACCTAGTACAGCAACAGTTGATCCCTTTTCAACATGAACTTCTCTCCATGTTGCTCCATAACCTGTTGTAAATCCACAACAAAGCAAGCTAGCATGTTGAAGCGGAATCTTCTGAGGATCAATTTTGATTACATAGTTAGCATTAATAACTGTATATTCCGACCACGTGGCGCAAGTAAAAATTTGGTATAATACTTGTCCTCCATGAATTGACATTCTTGATGTGTCATCCAACATTAGACCAGAAAGGGTCAAGTGATATTTGTGACATAAATTGGACTTCCCTGACTTGCAATTTGGGCATTCTTTGCATTCTCCTAAGTAAAGTGGCATCACTATATCTCCTTCTTTTAGATTTGTCACATTTTCTCCCACACTTTCTATCATGCTGCAAATTCAAATAAGTCGAGATTGGCTAAATATATCCATTTTCAAATCAATTTGCAATAATTAACTAGTAAAGTTGTTGCCATCACAGGTCAAAGTCATGCAAACAGTCGCGGAAATGCAGAGTAAGGTTGCATGCAGCAGACCCTTGTGGGTCGGCCCTGGACCCCGTACATGTAATTTTTCATAGAATGAAACAGAGAAAGAAGATTTTCCTACCCAACTCCTTCATGTCCAAGAACTCGAGGAAATAAAGGCTGGAGAGGACAGAAGAAAAACAACATAAACAAAACGATGGATCCAAATTAGTTAGGAAAGATGAGAAGAATGAAATGGAAACAGAGTAACATACAATGGGATAGCCATTGGAAGCGAGAATGTCAGTGTGGCACAAACTGGCAAAGAGCATCTTAATTCGAACTTCATTTGATTTAGGTGGATCCACTTGTATCTCTTCGATCTTTATCATCTCCCCTTCCTTCCATACTACTGCAGCTGCACACGCACACACATAATGCATAAATCTTCTCATAATGTTGAAATTAAAGAAAAAACTAGCTCTCAATCTCCATGATTATCACTCACCTTTGCATGTGATGACCTTTGGGTTGCTTGAGTCCATGGAATAAGGTCGGGTTGAGGTTTCTAAGCAAAATATGCGAATAACTTTACTTTAGATGAAGCATTAACAATTTAATACAGGAGCCCAACTTTGATAGATTTGGAATGTAATTGACTCTCTACCTCAAAAGCCAACAAATTATATAAAGAGTCTAAAGTGTCCTCATCCCACAAAAATGTAACTCAAAAAGTTCAATTGTTGTACACAAATTACTGTGAACAGACAAGAGATCCTCCAAATTCTTGACTATATATATACTCAAAAGCAAGAACCAAAAATTCATCAATAATATAATATAACTTGTAGAAGAAAAAAAGGCCAAGAAATTAACAGAACTCAAACAAATTAGATATAATTATTACCTGAACTTTGCTTAATATATAAAGATGAGGGACTTTGCTTCAAGTTGGAGGAGAGAGAGAGAAATGTTTCGCTGGAAATCAATTGACAGGACCTTCAAGTTGGAGGAGAGAGAGAGAAATGTTTCGCTGGAAATCAATTGACAGGACCCTCTTTAAATACTTTTTAATTTTCAATTTACATAATATTATACTGCATGATTTAGATAATGTTTGGTATTGCTGCTAAAAATGCTTATTTTTAGAAGTATTTTTTTAAATGACTTTTTAAAAATGTGTTTTTGAAAAAAAATAAAATTGTTTGGCTAATTCATTTGAAAAGTATTTTTGATAAGCATTTTGTGTTTGACTAAATTTTTATAAAAAGTGCTTTTGACAGTTTTATTACTAAAAATGATAAGTATCAATGTGTTTTTAATATTAAGATCATTTTATAGAAAGAAACTATAATAAATATCTATTGCAAAATTTTAATTAAATTAAAATGTACATATTCAAATTTTCAATCAATATTATACATAAATAAATAAACTAAATATTAACATGATGATTTAAATATAATTAAAAATATCAAGCAAAATAAATTTAAGAACCATTCCACAAATTAAACCACTATATACGAAAAATTCACCACAAAAATAAATAAAGTTCTTTATATTTTTAATCCTACAAAAATATTGTTGTTACCTTTATTTTCTAATTCTGTAAAATAATATATAAAATATAAAATATGAATATAATATTAACATGGTGAATTAAATATAATTAAAAATATCAAAAAAATAAATTTAAAACCCACTCCACAAATTAAACCACTATATAAGAAAAATTCACCATAAAAATTAATAAAGTTCTTTATATTTCTAATCCTACAAAAATATTGTTGTTACCTTTATTTATAATTCTATAAAATAAAACATAAAATGATATATTAAATATAAAATATAAATAATAATATATAAACATAAAATAAAATAAAAAATTATTATAAAAAAAAAAAATACAATTCTTGAATGAAACTTAACCAGACTTATGAGATTTGCTAATCAATTAATAATGGATATATTCGTAACTATGTATATATGAAAGAGATATTTTTGTATTCAAAATAATAATTTTCTACTTCTACTTTTTTTAAGAAGTAGAAATTTTAGTTTCCTCCCAACAACAGAAAAATTGTTTCTATTTTCATTCAGAAGCAGTTTTAATGATTTGTCAAACACTTATATTTCTTCTTCTTTTTTTTTTTTAAAAAAAGTATTTTTTTCTCAAAAAAACACTTTTGACCTCCCAACAGCAATGCCAAACATGATCTTAAGAAGGAACTTTTTTTTTAAAAAAATCAAAATTTATGGTGTAAATACGTTATAAATATTTGTGTGATTAAAAATGATTTTCAAATTAATAAAATTAAATTTTATATTTATCGTTTCGATTGTTATGATTTCGATTCGATTTAGTATAATATATTATGTATATATAATTATAAAAAAATATGTATATAATTATCGATTCGATTTGATTATATTTTTAATAGTTTGAATAAAATCAAAATCAAATAAAATATTAATTTAAAAATATAAAATCAAATCAAATAAAAAATAATTTATTTTATCGATTTGAATAGATCTGTACACCAACTTTAAACGCCTCTAATTAGCAGTACCAATGCAATAATAGCTATGGGAGAGGAAGGTAGGGTTGAATGTCAAACAAAGGAAACATTTTCCTCCTAGCATTTTGTTTTCTCCTATTATTATAAACTCTAATTTTATTTCTTTTGGTTTCCCACCCAGTGTTCGGAGCTCACATTAGAGCTCCGAATCACGCACTGCAGGTCCTATTCGGGATTGACGGTCCCAACAGAATTTTCTCTATATCTAGGGCTGAAACCCAAAACCTTGATTAAGAATGAAGCACTCCCACCAGGGCACCACAACCCATGTTGGTTAAACTCTAGTTAATTACATTTTTACTATATTATAGCATGTTAACAGTATAAGACTATAAGGACTCATTTGGATTGAATTCAAGCTATGATAAGATTAGTTATGACAGGATAAATTATGATGGGATAAGTTCTAATAAGATTATTTTTTATTGAGTGTTTGGTTTGTTGTATTCAAAATAGTAAATTTTAAGAATATTTTATTTGTTTACAAAAATGTCTTTCATGAATGTAAAAAAGTGGTGTATAAAAAGGGTTTAAAAAGACATTTTTGTCATTTACTTATTTTATCCGGGATAAATTATCTCGGAATTACTATACCACCCAAAGGGAGGAATAACTTATCCCGATACTAATTATTAATCCCAAAATAAATTATCCCAAACATGTCATCCAAATAATAAATTAATTGGTACTATAATTTAATGCAAATATACTTATTCCGGCTAAGTTAAGTTCTTGGCTATTAATGAAACACTATATTGATTTTAATAGAACATAGCCTATAAATTCACTTGCCAAGTAGACATCTCCCATATCTAGAGTTCAATGTCAAACAAATAGGGCAAAAAATAAGAAGAAAAAAACATTTTCCAACTATCATATTAAATTCAATCAATCAATATTCAAGTATAGAGCAATTTGATTTCATTATTGAGAAATATCTCTAAATTGAAAAGTTACAGATAATGAAAAGATTAAATACCTTTACAATACTAGAATGATATAGGATGAAAAATATATGGTTGTAAAATTACCCTCTTTTTCTTTAGATTGTATTATAATAATACTAACAGAGCTAAAACACATGTCATAATATATATCAGAAGTTTACTAATTATCCAAACAGCTGAAGAACATAACATGTGACATATAATAATAGCAAGTAGGTAAGTTACCATTTCTATCAAATTATATAACATGTGATATATAGTAGTAGTCAGTAGGTAAGTTACCATTTCTATCAAATTACAATTGCAAATACATCATTTTCATAAAAACTTATTTTGTGATCATCCTTACTAATAAATAACTTATTTCCTATCATTGGTATTTATATAACTTTGAACATCACTTTCCATTTTATACCGTGCTTAAGAAATCATAAATAAAAAGATAATTTTATTAATTCAATCCTTAAAATATTTGTGGGAAATTTTACAAATAAATGCGAAAACTTTCAAAAAGAATTAATAGCAAGGGCAATATAGGAAAGTTTTCACTAATGCCTTTTGGATTTAGAGCTTGTTTTGGCATTGCTGCTAAAAACTGCCTATTTTAAAAAATGTTTTTTTTTTTAAAATAACTTTTTAGAAAAGTGTTTTCCAAAAAAAAAACAATTTGTGTTTGGAAAATTCATTTGAAAAGTGCTTTTGATAAGCAATTTGTGTTTGACTAAATTTTTAAAAAAAAAGTGTTTTTAGGAGTCAAATTACGAAAAAAGGCAAGTATCAATGTGTTTTTAATATTAAGAATATTTTATAGAGAGAAACTATTTTAAACATCTAATACAAAAACTCTAATTACATTTTCAATTTTATTAATTAAAATACACATATTCAAATTTTCAAAATCAATATTACACATAAATAAATATTGTTGAAAAATATTAAATAGAAGAATCTTATTGTTATTTGTTACCTATTCTCTTGGATTCAATCTTAGCTATTATCCATTTTTTTTTGTTATAATACTCTAAAGTTTTTAAAAAAAAATCAAATTAAAATAAAATAATACATAAATTAAGGAAATAAAATTTGTTATTTGTAACTTTTTGGGAGGGTCTAAATCTTTTTGTTACTTTTTCTCTCTTTTTTTAATCATGAAAAAATATTGTTGTTACTTTTATTTTTAATTCTGTAAATGTCACGATCCAGACCGTCGTGAGTGGCACCCACACTAACCCTCTGGTGGGAGAACCATTACTACACCCCAACTAAACAACTTAACGAAAACTAGAAGATTTAAAGATACAGAAGCAGGTTTAAATGTCTAAGAAGATATGGAGTTCCATAAACTCCGAAAGTTTAACAAACCATTACTAAACATTTGCGGAAAACAACCCCTAGAAACTGAAAGTCATTGTACCAAAACATCTAAAGTGAAACAAGTCTAAGAAGAAGGGGTACAACCCCAACCAAACATAAGAAGTATCTAAACAATAGTTTGAGTCCAAAGAGAATGGACCAAACAAAATGAAAGGACTCCATGGCAGCCTGAAAGAACTGACTCATCCTTGAAATCCAGTCTCGATCACTGATCTCCTAGCTGATGTCTATCAGTAGCCGCCTGAAGATGTCATGTACTCAACAAAGAACGAACAAGTGCAGTATCACACAACCACAGTGTACTGGAAGGATCACACAACTATTCCAGCAAGCGAAACATATATAAGCAGTCACAACACAGTAAACATAACATGTACAAAATATATATATATATATACACACACACATCGGTTATCATTTCAGGAGCAATGTACAATTCCACATTCTCAATAACAAGTAGATATGACAATTCAATGGGTCCTCTTATGGAATCCATACTCAAACTGTTAGTGTGCCAGAACGTGTCACCCGATCCCAATTAGTGTGTCGAAACGTGATATCCGATCCAATATATGTGTCGGAACATGACACCCGATTCAATCAACACAACCACAATCACATTCACACTTATAATGTACATACTCACAATCAT